TAAAACTGAAACCTAGAGAATCTAAAGACTCCTTCAAAGACTCCTAGATTTGACAAATGAATTCAGTAAAGTTTTAGGATGCAAAATCAACACACACATGGCGGTAGCACTGCTATACACCAAAAATGATCAAGCTGGGAATCAAATCAAGAACTCAATTCCATTTACAATGACAGCTCCAAAGCTGTAATACCCAGGAATATATTTAACTAACGATCTCTACAAGTGAACTGTAAAACATTGATGAAAGAAGTTGTAGAAGACACAAATAGAAAAACATCCCATATTCATTGATTGGAAGAATGAAATTGTTAAAATGACTATTATAATCTACAGATTCATCACAGTTTCTATCAGACTACCAATTTCATTTTTCACAGAATGAGAAAAAACAGGAGGTATTGTGAAGAATCAGGGTAGGAGGATAACCAGGACTAAGGGTGCCTCAAAAGCCAAAAGGAAGAAAATTCTAGGAATGGGGAAAATAATCAGGGATATACAGAGTCAACTGGGAAGAGAATGCAGAGGAGGCTTTCAGAAGTGGCAGCTAGGAGGCTGTTATTGATCATGAAAAGAACATTTTCGGTAATGTCTTTCTTCACCTTTCATTGGGCCTGATTCTAAGCACACACAAGGACTGTGCCATGCTCGGTGTTTTGTAGTTTACCAAGCCTTCTTCAGTGGTGACTGCCAACAAAAGCAGGCTCTGGATAGAACCCACCTCCAGGCTCAGATGCGTCCTCAAACTCCAGTTAGCCCAGTAACACCTGTCATTAGGACAGCATGTCCCCTAAAAAGAATCCCAACAGTTTCATAGTATCATCTTTGGCAGTAACTACAACCAGCCTTTATAGTTGACCAAAACCATAGTAGGCTGATAAAATGTTATGATCCTGCCTCTGATTCATCTATGCAAGGAGATAGATAGCCTCTTGCTACAGAGATAATATAGAATTCAGAAAATGTCCAGGAAGCAGCCAGGCTGGAAGAGTGGGCAGAGAGTCAATTGCTAGTACGTAATAAAACATATTACAGTAGATGGTACAAGGAATCTGGAAAAGATTGTGCGTAGACCTTATTTACCTTTAAATGTAAATTACTTTGGAAGTAGAAGCAAACCATAATTATCTTGAATGAATTATTCATAAAATTATACTATATATCAGATTTTCAGGGTTCAGCATTTTTTTTTTTTTTTTTTTTTTTTTTTTTTTTTTTTTTAGAGAGCAGGGTTTATTGAGAGAACAGAAAAGCTCCCACAGTGGGAGGGGACCCAAGGGGGTTGCCCTCTTTCTTAATATAATGTTTGTTATGATTTTATAACTTCTCAAAAACATTTTTAACTTTAGTATTCATGAACCTGGTTTCTAGAGAAGGTAATTTTAAAGACAAAACACACTGTTTACATGACTCTCCAAAAGTAATCCACTGAATTATTAATATTTAGAAGTGCACAAGAACTATTAATAGTACCTATTCATTTAGATGTCACCTAACTCCCCAAAAAATGTGTCAATTTCTAACTCTTAGAAAGTTAAGACAGCCAGCTCTTTATATCCATGAGTTCCATGTCCATGAATTCAACCAACTGCAGATCCAGAATATTCAGGAAAAGAAATTGCGTCTGTCCTGAACATGTACAGGTGATTTTTCTTGTCATTTTTTCCTATACAGTATGAGAAATATTTACATAGCATAATAATACCAGTTAGTTGTTATAAGTAATGTAGAGATGATTTAAAGTATGCAGAAATACTCTGCTATTTTATATCAGGGACCTGAGCATCTGCAGATTTTGGTATCTGCACGAAATCCAAGAACCAATTCTCATGGATACTGAGGGACGGTTGTGTCATATAGTTCTGTAGACATTTACATTCTGTTAAGGACTGGGGCGGAGTGGGGGGTCTTTTCATTAAAGATTAAAAGGGAAATCAAGGAAATACATAAATAAAGTTAAAGGAAATCTTGTTGGCTAACTTTCCAAGAGTATAATTATGTAGCAGCTTGGGCCTCAGTGTTAACAACAGTCAGGAAATCCTGGCTCCAGATTCCTGGGGTTTGCTATCTATTTGATGATTTGCTGTGGAAATCTCTAGGAACCAAGTTGATATTCCTGTCTTCCCCAGACACGAGACTTTGTGTGATTTCTCTATCAGCATTTCCTTCTGCCTGCCAACTACTTTCCATCTGTATATTTGTAGTCCCTTAGTTCTCTAAAGCAAATTTAAATCATTCTATTTCTTCTGCATGTTGATTGAAGGCTCAGCACAAATCAGGCAGGCAAGTAAAAATTAAATATACAGAGTACTCTATAGCCTACAATGAACAAAGAATGAAAGCTGGCATATCGGCTAAGAGCTTGAGTTTTTGAGATTAATTATTTGGATTCAAAGCCGCAACCTGCTACTTACTACCTTTGTGACCTTGGGTAAGATATTCCTATTTTTTGTGCCTTTATTTCCTCATCTGTAAAACAGAGGTGATAACTACCTTCCTTAAGATCACTGTACAGTTAAAGGAGCTAATTCATGCTTAGAATGAATACATAGTAAGTACTCATAGGTGGCACATGGTAAATGTTAGTTGATATAATCATTCTCATAACTGATTAAGAAGAGCTATTTATCTACAGTATCTCATTTGAATTGTGTAATAATCTTTTAATACTTAAATACTATTAGCCCCATTTTATAGAAGACCCTAAAGCTTTAAGGTTCAACTTGCCCCAAATCATACACGCATTCCTGCTAGTGCTAGGATTAGAATTGTGTTGTATACATAGTTCCGTAGGTCTTACTGTTAGACTAAGGAGTGAATAGATTTCATCTCAAGAGCCAGCTCTAAACAGTTGAAGTGGTTGTTCGGAGGCCTGTTTTGAGAATTCTCAAAGCAGGTCCAAGGTCATTAAGCAAAAAAAAAGCCTCACTGAGAGCAGTATTTGCGATGGGCTCAGGTGCATGGAATAAGAACACATAGTTGCTTTCCTTTTTTTATTTTTCCCCCTTATAATTAAAGTTTCTCATGAACCCTAGTTTTTCTTTATAAAAATTTTAGGTAAATTTGAACACATCTTGTAATAAATGTATTAATTTAAAGAATCATTTTCACCTTGTAAGTTTGCTAGAGACGTGTCACTATTCCTCAAATATTTTGCAAAATTTTTGCAAAAAAAAAAAAAAAATTCTTTTCTCGTATGGGCACACAGATTAATTGGGTAGTCACCATTTCTAATTTTAAGGCTAAGTTTGGGAATTTGGTTAAGGACATTTTTAGAAGTAATCAAGAAAGCCTTGTTTTCATATATGAGCCAAATACTAGTCTCCTTGAAAATCAGAGAAAATGCTTGGGATATGGCATATAGATACCATTTTAAATACACAAAAAAAGCTAGGTTTCTATGGAGTTGACATATTTGATCTGCCTGTCCTGGACTTCTTGGTTTTATTTTAGCTAGTGTTATCCCATCCCTAGTATTTTTGTTTTGTTTGTAGAGACAAGGTCTCACTATGTTACCCAGACTGGTCTCAAAACTCCAGGCCTCAAGCAATCTGCCTCCCTTGGCCTCCCAAGGTGCTGGAATTACAGGTGTGAGCAACATACCCAGCAGTATTTTTTGGTTTTATTGAACCAAATAGCAATATATATTTTAAATGTCGACATCACCAAAGTATAGGAAAAGCCAGAGTTAGCTTTTAGTTTCCACCTTCTCAGGAAAAATGGCCACACGTCTCTAGATTTATGTAGGCACCTAGTTTGGAAGACTTGGGTAGTCCTATTTCCCAGTGTGAACTACCTTTGGGAAATACCTGCAGACAAAGCTCATGAAGTCTGAGAACTTGGTACTTCATCCCCTAGCTATAAAAAAAAAAAAAATGCAGGAGAGAGGGGACGAAATGCACTATAGAGGTTACCCATATAGAACTCTGTATTTCACTGGACTGTTGAGGCACCTAGTCTCCAGATCCTGCTCAGATAGCTTTAGGGGTAGAGAGAACATACCATTTCCTCCAGAAGTCTTGGCCATCTTTGGGCAATTCTGATAATTTTTTCCTTTTTTTCTTCTTTCTACATGAGATGGCTAAGCAAGGAAGAAATCTGTCTCTCAGAAAACGCTTCTTATTCCACCTGGCTCCTGTGGAACTCATCTCTGACTTCTTGAGCTTTACTGATTAAAATCCGAGAGCTATTTGATGTGCCCAGTAGCAGTAACCAAGGTTAAATAAGCATCTGGAAGAACTCTTTGGGAAGTGTGAAACTATTTAAGGAAAAAAGGATTTTCTCCCAAAAAGCTTTCCACGAATGTCACTTGCAAGCACTCTGGGAAGCATATGCTCTAGAGAGAAAAATATTTATGAAAAGTAAGGACCTTTAATCTTTGTAATTTGATTAGATATTGTTACATTTCAATGAAAATTACTTTTAGGATTCCATTATATGCAATCAGTCTTTATGAGTATTGACTAGAAATGGTTAGAGAAAAAAGCATATTGTTCCTTATGAAGTTGTTATTAAGTGCCTTATCAAATGTAATTCATTTATTTAGTGTTTTAAAAATTAAAATGTTAAGGTTTTATTCAAAAGGTAGTCTTGCTTATTATTTATTGTCTTTTTCTGGTGGTATAATCCAAACATCCATTATAAATTATGTTTTTAAAGCAGTTCTCAGCTCTGAGTTCCTCTCAGCTCTAACCTCCCTTCCTCAAATAGAAAGAGTTCATTTTCTGAGCAGAATTGTAGTAACTTTTGCTAGCATGATGAAGAACATGTTATGAATTCAGGCTTTTATACTTCTTTCTATATTTCACAATGTTTGGTCTTTCAATCTTCTCCTGAGACTTCTCTTCTACTTTTATTGGTAAAGTCTTCTCTCTCTGGGTTTTTGTTAAATCAGAGAGACCTTATTATCCTTATAAAATCCTCTCTGCCATGTTGAAGATGGGAGTCTCTTAGCTCTTATTCTCTCATGGATATACATTTAGAATTTTTGGTTGTTTCAGGCTGACCCCGATTCTTGGCATTCAGAAGCATTCTCAAGAAAATGTGGTGTTTACACGGTTTATAGCCACCCTGCTTGAAGAATTACATCTAAAATATGAAGACCTTGAAAGTTTAACCCTAATATTTAGAACCAACTGTTAACCAGAGTGGTGAGTTGAATTGTGTTTTACTTTGGTTTTTTTCCTTCACTTTTTGACTGTGTGGATTCTTTTTTTATATTGGAAATTGCAGAAACCAAGTACAGACCTCCAGAAGCCTCCAGCTTGCTAAGGAAGGACAAGATGTCCCTTAGTTCTCAGTTGCTTCAGTCATTTCCTGTCTATTCTTCTTACTTTGAGCCCTATCCTTGTTGCTATTCCTCCTTTGTAGGCTATAACAGTTAGTACTGGTTTTTGCAGCCCAGGAAACTCCCCATTATCAGTTTCATGCTCAAGCCTAGGCCATCCCACATGTCCCATCCGATAAGTTTCTTCCCGGGAAGTAACAGTTGACTTCAGCCTAGCTACTGTAGTGATCATTGTGAATATCCTCTTCTTACTACCCCTTCCGGTGAAACCACCCCCTGCCAGCCAATACTTTAGTCATTTCATGTGCAGATAAGCAGGTGAATTTACAAGTCTGGCTTTGTTGAATCCTGACCCTGCTCCCAGATACATAACCCGCTCCTACTATCCCACGTCCTTGCCTCTTTCAGAACTGCCCTTCAAAATATTCCCTCCCTTGTCCTGCCTTAATCATAACTCTCCATCTTTTCCTTTCTTCTCATTTCACACAGTCCCAAAGTGCTCAGATGTATTGATTTAATGTTATAACTGAAGAAATGAGAACCCCTCTCTCGGGGAGCATTTTGTTTTCTTTTTTTTTTTAATTTTGCTTTTTAAATGATAAAAGCAATACAAAGTATTATATAAAATAAAAATTAAGCAATACAGAATTGTTTATATAATAAAAAAGAAAAATTTCCCCTTCACCTCTAATTCCAATCCTATCTTCTTCCCAGAAGCACAATTGATGTCTATCATTTAATATTTAATTTTATTATTTAAATTTTTATTAAACAATCTTGAAGAAAATCTCTAAATATACAGGAAGAATATTTGAGAGAGGTATTTGGGCAGCTAAAAAGAATATCCCTTTATTATTTTTATTTTTTTTTATTTTTTTTGAGTTGGAGTCTCACTCTGTCTCCCAGACTGGAATGCAGTGACCACTCCCGGCCACCGCAGCCTTGACCTGCTGGGCTCTGGTGATCCTTCCGCCTCAGCCTTCCAAGTAGCCGGAATTACAGGCACGCGTTACCACACCCGGCTGATTTTTTTTTATTTATTGTAGAGATGAGATCTCGCTGCCCAGGTGGGTCTCGAACCCGCGGGCTCCAGCAATCCACTCTCCTCAGCCTCCCAAAGGCGCGGGATTACAGGCTGAGCCACCAAGCCCAGCTAAACATCCCTTTATTAAACTTGCTTGAAAATAGAATAAAAGGAATTAGCACCTTATCTGCCTCCCTAGTGACTTTTTCAGGGGATTCTGCTGCCCTAAGGACCCTGTAAAGCAAAGAGAGTAAGCTTAGGTTGTCCTGTATAAGTATAGCATTCAAAGGCCCTTAAAGAGTATGGCAAGAAACAGGGCACAGTGGCTCACACCTGTAATCCCAGTATTTTGGGAGACCGAGGCAGGAGGACTGCTTGAGCCCAGGGTTTCAAGACCAGCCTGGGCAAACATAGCAAGACTCCATCTCTACAAAAAATCAAAAACTTAGCCAGTCATAGTGACACACACCTGTAGTCCCAGCTTCTTGGGAGGCTGAGGCAGAAGGATTGCCTGAGCCCAGGAGATTGAGGCTGCGATAAGCTGTGATCATGCCACTGTACTTCAGCCTGGGTGACACAGTGAGACCCGGACTCAAAAAAAAAGAATATGGTGAGGTTGCAGAACTGGAACAAAGCAAGGATGCCAACTTTTATCGCTCCTATTAAACACATTACTGGAAGTCCTTGCCAGAGCAATCAGGCAAGAGAAAGAAATAAAGCATATCCAAATTGGAACAGAAGAAATCAAACTATTTCTGTATGCTGACGATACGATCTTCTACCTAGAAAATCCTAAAGATTCCTCCAGAAGACTCCTGGACTCGATAAATAAATTTGGTAAAGTTTCAGGATCCAAAATCAACACAAACAAGTCAGTGGCACTGTTACACATCAACAGCAACCAAACTGAGGATCAAATCAGGTTCCATTTACAATGGCAGCCTAAAAGCTAAAAATACCTAGGAGTATAATTAACTAAGGAGGTAAAAGATCTCTACAAGGAGAAATACAAAACTCTGACGAAAAAAGTTGTAGAGGACACAAACAAATGGAAAAACATCCCATGCTCATGGATTGGAACAGGCATGTCCAACCCATGGCCTGCAGGCCACATGCAGCTCAGAACAGTTACCAATGTGGCCCCACAAAATCTTTTAGCATCATGTGTTTTTTTGTTTGTTTTTTTTTTGAGTTGGAGTCTCACTCTGTTGCCCAGACTGGAGTGCAGTGGCCGCTCCCGGCCACCGCAGCCTCGACCTGCTGGGCTCCGGCGATCCTTCCACCTCAGCCTTCCAGGGAGCCGGAATTACAGATATGTGCTACCACGCCCAGCTGATTTTTTGATTTTTATTGTAGAGATGAGGTCTCGCTGCCCAGGCGGGTCTCGAACCCACAGGCTCAGGCAATCCACTCACCTCAGCCTCTCAAAGGCACGGGATTACAGGCTGAACCACCAAGCCCGGGTAGCATCATGTGTTTTTAGCATTTATTTTCATCGTTACCCCACGTGTAGTTCTGTTTTTGAAGTTCATAATCACGTCTTATTCATGACATTGTTTTTTGGTAGTATATATGTTTGTGAGCAACTGTTTTCAATTATGAAATACATGAAGAGCAAAATTCAAACAAACATTTCTGACAAGCAGCTTGAGAACTCACTAAGAATTGTGAACACTTCCATCAAACCAGACGTTGGTAGGTTAGTTTTACAAAAACAAGGCCAAATGTCCCACTAGTTTTATGTTGTTCTCATTTTTCTAAACTTTATAATAAAAAATATTAAAAAATAAAAGAAGCTTTATGTACATACACTAACTATATTATATAATTTATGTGCGGCCCAACACCACTCTTTATTAGATGTGGCCCAGGGAAGCCAAAAGGTTGGACACCTCTGGATTGAAAGAATCAGCATTTTTTAAATAACCATATTACCCGAAATAATCTACAGGTTCAATGCAATCCCTATCAAGCTACCATTGTCATTTTTCACAGAGTTAGAAAAAACAATCTTATAATTCCTATGGAACCAGAAAAGAACCAGAATAGTCAAAGCAATCCTAAGCAAAAAGAACAAAGCTGGAGGCCTCACATTACCTGACTTCAAATTATACTACAAAGCTATAGCCAGTACAGCATGGTACTGGTACAAGAAGAGACACATGGACCAATGGAGCAGAATAGAGAATCCAGAAAAAAACCCAAATACCTATAACCATCTGATCTTTGATAAAGCAGACAAAAATATACAATGGGGAAAGGGTACCCTATTCAATAAATGGTGCTGGGAAAATTGGGTAGCTACATGATGAAAAATGAAACTTGATCCTTATCTCTCCCCATATACAAAAATTAACTCTAGATGAGTCAAAGTCTTAAATGTCAGACCTGAAATCATAAAAATCCTAGAAGAAAACCTAGAAAAACTCTTCTGGACATTGGCATAGTCAAAGAATTTATGACTAAAGCCCCCAAAGCAAATACAACAACAAAAATAAATAAGTGGGACTTCATTAAACTAAAAAGCTTCTGCACAGTAAAAAGAAATAATCAACAGAGTAAATAGGCAACCTACAGAAAGAAAGAAGATATTTGCAAACTATATACCTGACAAAGGAGTAATAGCTGGAATCTACAAAGAACTCAAACAAATCAGCAAGAAAACGGCAAATAACCCCATTAAAAAGTGAGCAAATGACATGAATAGACATCTCTCAAAAGAAGATGTACAAATGACCAGAAAACATATGAAAAAATGGTCAACATCATTAATCATCAGGGAAATGCAAATTAAAATCACCATGAGTGGCCATTATTTAAAGGATAGATGCTGATTCAGATACAGGAAAAGGGAACATTTATACACTGTTGGTGGGATTGTAAATAAGTACAACTCAACAAATCGCTATGGAGATTTCTCAGACAGCTAAAAGTAGATCTACCATTCCATCTAGCAATCCCACTACTAGTTATCTACCTAAAGGAACGGAGGTTGTTATACAAAAATGGTACCTGTACTCGAATGTTTATTGCAGCATAATTCACAATTGTAAAGATGTGGAATCAATCTAAATATCCATTCGCTGATCAGGTGGATGATGAAAGTGTGGCATATACTGGAGGTGCCTAAAAAATATATACACATTTAAAGAGATGTTCGCCATAATCAGAAGTGTCTGGACACTGATGGTAAGGTAAACACTTTGAGCACCTCCTATAATTGCAGAAGTCAAATGTGACTTGTAGTCTTTGTTAGCGATATATGTTGACTATTACAATTTTAGTATAGCTTTTTCCTTTCTTAAAATGTATACTTTTGTTGGCACCCTCTGTACATATCATAGAATACTATTTATCCATAAAAAAGAATGAAATAATGTCTTTTATAGAACTTGGATGGAATTAGAGACTATCATCCTAAATGAAGTAATGTAGAAACAGAAAACCAAATACCACTTGTTCTCACTTATAAGTGGGAGCTAAACTAAGGATCTGCAGAGGCAGAGAGAATGGTATGATGGACACCTGTCAGGTATAATGTGCACTGGTGTGGGTTGTAGGTACATTTAAAGCCCAGACTTCTTCACTATTCAATGCCTCCGCATAACTAAAAACTATTTGTACCCCCAAAGCTATTGAAATAAAGAAAAAGAAAAAAAGAAGGAACATGGTGAAGTTGAAGTGTTTGTTTTATTAAACATGTGATCCAGAGACTTGAATTAATCATGCTTCTCGGTTCATAACACCTAATATCTATTGGTTAAAAGGTTTCTTGTTCAGGCAGGCTGAAAGCAGACAATGCCTAGCCAGAAATCCTTCTAGACCTGCTTTAACGAATACATACCAATTAAAAATTATTTTAATTAGCATATTTTAAACTTGTACAGATTACAGATGGTGTTAAAGTCATTTCAAGGACTTTCAACAATAGATATTTTAAGTGGACTTAACAATTCCTCTGTGATTAGTGTTCATTTGCTGAAGTAATCAAAGGTAAACCTGGCCCAGACTTTGTCAGTATTACAAGGGATTATAAGTTAATAAGGCCTCATTACATAATTTTCCACATGAGAAATGAAGATGGTTGTGGGTAGGTAGAGTTTTTTCTGTTTGCCTGATTTTGGTAAACTGTGGTAGAGTCATTTAAGTCTAAAGATTTGAATGTCTAGTAATCTTTCCAAGATTGCTAACTGATATATGATAATATGCTTTCAGTTGCAAATAACAGGGAAAAAATCCAGTTCTGACTAACTTTCGTTATGGTGGTAATTAGTTATCTTTTGCTACAAACAAATTACTCTAAAACTTAGTGGCTTAAAACAACACACATTGTTTAATCTCACAATTTCGGTGAGTCAGGCATAGTTGAACTAAGGGCCTCTGACTCAGGGTCTCTCATGAGGTTGTTGTTAAACTGTCTACTGGAATTGCAGTGTCACCTGAAAGCCCAACTGGAAGATCTCCTTTCAGGCTCACTCATGTGGTCGCTGGCAGGGTGTAGTCCCCGACAGGCTGTCGAACTCAGTTTCTCACTATGGCCTGGAGCTTCTCCTGATGCCTGGTCATACGGTCCTCTCCATAGCGCGTCTCAATATGGCATGCGGCTTCCCTCACAGGAGCAAGTGAGAGCGAACACCCATGATGCAAGCCACAGTCTTTTTGTAATTAATCTCAGAAGTAGCATCCCATCACTTTTGCTTTATTCCTTTAGGTAGAAACTAGTCATTAGGTTCAGCCTATACTCAAGGTGAGAGGATTGTATAAGGGCATGAATACCAGGAGTCATCGACCACTGGGGGGCATCTTAGAAGCTGTCTACTAGTGGGACAAAATTATTCAATAGTTGCAGTTTTATATATAGCATATCATACTGTCCTGGTGAGAGTCTTGAACTTCACATAGATTGAGGACACCCCTGAACCAATTCATGGGGCCCCAGGAATGTTATGTGCAAACTCAGTCATTCTGGCAAGGGATTGGGGAGAGAGAAGGAATTTCCAGTTGACCTAGCTCAGTCAGAGCCTGCCCCTCGGGTTGAACATGGAGCTGTTGCTACATAATGGAGAAGAAGTGGGATGGATACCGGGAAGACAACAGTGTCTACAACAGCTGGCAAAGTATCTTACATGTTTTATTCAAACTATCCTTCTTTGTTTCACAGATATAGTCCATGAAGACAGAATAGAAGATGAACCCTTAGTCCTCATTTTTGGAATTCTAACCACCCTGATGGTCTGGAGGTGACTGACAACTTGCTTTATTCCAAGACAGACCTTTGCCTCCTTAGGTTTCAACCCTCCCCCTCCTAGTCCCTCAGTTCCTAACTGCAGAGACTGACTTCCCCAGATAAAAGAGAACCCTAACTCCATCAAGGATAACCAAGTCTCTGCATCCCTAGCTACAAGATACAGTATTTTTATTTGAAAATGAAAGTTGAAGTATTAAGTTGAAACTTGAGTGAATATTCAAGAAAATATAATGATCTTTCATTTTTCTGGATGATTCTAGCCATCATATCAGTTGACAAAAAAATTGAGAAAATTATCTGTTTGGCTTTCCAATCTAAACTCTAGATTCTGAAGAATAGCAAACAATTACATCAATAAATGCAATTTAATAGGAAGCCCTTTGAAAATCTACTCGTCAAGCCAGTCTCAGTGCCTCAGCCTGTAATCCCGCGCCTTTGGGAGGCTGAGGTGAGTGGATTGCCTGAGCCCACGGGTTCAAGACCCACCTGGACAACTTGGCGAGACCTCATCTCTACAATAAATCAAAATGAGCTGGGCGTGATAACGTGTGCCTGTAGTTCCAGCTACTTGGAAGGCTGAGGCAGAAGGATCACCAGAGCCCAGCAGGTCGAGGCTGCGGTGGCCAGGAGTGGCCACTGCACTCCAGTCTGGGTGACAGAGACTCCAACTCGAAAAAAGAAAAAGAAAACCAACTCGTCATTCTTTTAAACTGACTGCTGTAAAATGGTCCTGAGCAGCATGGTTAACCTCACAAGTCCAAAACAGGAGAACCCTGGAAATTTCTAGACTCAAGAAAATCTTTAAAATGGAGTATGTAGTTTGTTTTCAGGAGAGACAGTCTCTATAATTTAGATTGCTTTTCAAAGTGTACATCAAGCAGGCAATTTGGAAGGACCTCTAGAGCAGTTGAGGGGGGTCTCAGATATTTTAGGCCAAGAAACAAGATGCTATCAGATCTGTACTCTTGGGCAGTGGGAGAAATGGTAGCTGCTAAAGCCCAACCCTGGAAAGGGGTCAGAAAGCAGTCAGGTGGAATGGGGGGCTCGGTGGGAGGAGGTGGGGATTTGATTTCTCTTCTAGGCTCTGCCAGGTATTAGCTCTGTGACCAAGTCTCCTAAATTTTGTGGACTTCAGTTCTGTTCTCTGTAAAATATGGCTGTAGACCATACAAGCGCTATGGGAAAGGACTGCAAAAACTACAACTCCATTCAGACTAAAGTTGTTGTCACCCTGTTCTTCTGGGATACCTTTGACATTTCTCTTTCCTTTTCTGACCAGATGAGGGTTTAACCACAACAGAATATCACAGTGCATTAGAATTGATCAAGTTCAGCAAGATCACAGGCTACAACAGTCAATATACAAAAGTGGTGTTTTTGTATACTAGCAGTGAAAATTCCAAAAATGCTCAGGGGTTCGAGACCAGCCTGGGTAACTTAGTGAGATCTCATCTCTACAATAAATCAAAAAATAAGCCAGGCATTTTAGCATGCCCCTGTAGTTCCAGCTACTTGGAGGGCTAAGGTGGAAGAATCACCTGAGCCTAGCAAGTTGAGGCTGTGGTGGCTGTGAGCAAAAGGAGAAACTTTTACACTCCAGCCTGGGCAACAGAATGAGACTCCAACTCAAAAAAAAAAAGAAAATTCCAAAAATGATATGAAAATTTTATTCACAATAGCACCAAAAATAATTAAATATGTAGGCATAAATTTAACAAGAACAGTACAAGACTTGTATGGTGAAAACTATAAAACATGCAGAGCAATTAAAGAAGGTGTAAGTAAATGTAGACACATTCCAGGTTCATGAATTGGAAGATCCAATGTTGTAAAAAGAGCAGTTCTCCCCAGATTGATCCATCATGCAATTCCTATCAATATCAAAGCAGATTTTTTTGAAAAACTGATAAGCTAATCCTACAATGTGTATGAAAGTGCAAAGTATCCAGAAAAGCCAATACCATACATGAATCAAGCACTATGGTATAGGTGTAAAGATAGGTACATAGATCAATGGAACAGAAATAGAGTTCAGGAATAAGCCCTCACGTGTACAGTCAGTTGATTTTTGACAAAAGTGCTAATACAACTCAATGGAAAAACGATGGTCTTTTCAACAAATGATGCTAGAAAATTTGAATATCAGACGCAAAAAAAGACTAAACCCTTACCTCTCACCATATGCAAAAATAAACTCAAAATTGATCAGATGACCTTGACTAGATGACCTTGCTTTAGGAAAAGCGTTCTTAAATAAGACACCAAAATCACCCTCCATAAAATAATGTACCAATAAGTTGGACTTCGTCAAAATATAAAGCTTTATGTTGTGGCCATGTGCTCTCTGAGCTATGGCTGTCGCCACGCTTCCTGGCTTTGCCCCTCTCCCCCACCTTGGGGAGGTGAATCTTCTCTCTCCCTTCTCTTTCTCTCTTTAAATTACTTTTCAATAAACTATATTTTTTAATCTAACTTCTGTGCAATTCTTTGCATCTTCCATGCGACATTGGATCACACCCAGACAGCCACATGTGGGAAGTGATCTCTTTTTAAATAAATCTTTTCTTTCTTGCAAAAAAAAAAAAAAAAATATTTATATATATATATATATATAAAGCTTTGGTGCTTCATAAACCGTTATTAAGAAACTTAAATAAAAACCGCAGACAAGGAGAAAATATTTTCAAATCATATACAGTATCTGTAAAGAACTTGTAAAGACTTAAAACTCAAAAATAAGGCAAACAACTTAATTTTTTAAATGAGCAAAGTGTATAACTAGACACTTCAGCCCAGAAGATACACAAACGGCTTAGCAAAAGAAAAGATGTGTACCATCATTAGCCATTAAAAAAATGTATGTTAAAACCAAAATTAGATACCACTTCACACCCTCTAAAATTACTATAATTAAAAAAGACAGACACAGTGGCTCAAATCTATAAATCCCAGCACTTGGGAAGGCCAAGGTGGGAGGATCGCCTGAGGCCACGCATTCAAGTTCAGCCTGGGCAACAGTGAGACCCCATCTATGCAAAAAAATAAAAACATTAGTTGGGTTTGGTGGTGCTTACCTGTAGTCCCAGCTGTGAAGAAGCCAAGGTGGGAGGATCATCTGAGCCCAAAATTCTGAGGCTGCAGTGAGCTTCAATCAAGACACTGTACTCCAGCCTGGGCGACAGGCAAGACCCTGTCTCGGGGGAAAAGAATTTTAAAAGTTTGGGTCAGGACAGGGAGAAACAAGTCCTTGTGCATTGCTGGTGGGGTATAAAATGGTGCAGCCACTTTGGAAAAGTTGGGCCGTTTCTTCAGGAATTAAACAGTTTACCATATGATCCCAGCTATTCACCAAAAGAGAAACAGAAATGTGTTCACAGCAAGACTTGCAGGTGAATGTTCATAACAATATTATTCGTATAAGACAAAAAATGGAAACATTTCAAGTGTCCAGCTGGTGGGTTTTTTTGTTTGTTTGTTTCAAGATAGGGCCTCACTAGGTTGTTCAGGCCAGACTCAGAAACTTCTGGGCTCAGTCCATCCTCCCACTTCAGCCTCCTTAGTAGCTGGGACTAGGGTCATGTGCCATCTTGCCCAACTTACTTACTTTCCTTTTTTTTTAACTGGTGGATTTTTTTTTTTTAATGGTGTAGCCATACAAGGGAGTACGAATAGATCCAACATCGTGAGTGAGCCTCGGAAGCATTTGCTAAGTGAAGAAATCTGATGCAGTGGCCCACATGTGGTGTGAATCTCTTTAGATGACACGTCCAGAAAGGGCGAATCTCTAAAGCAGTTGCTGAGCTAGTGGTGGCATGGGCCTGGTATGAAAATATGGACTGCACGTGGGCACAAGAGGTCTCTTTGGGGTGAAAAAATGTTCTAAAACTAAATGTGGGATTCTTGAACGACTTTGTAAACTTTAAACGTAATTTGTGCACTTAAAACAGGTGAAGCGGGCAACCCCTTTGGGTCCCATCCCACTGTGGGAGCCTCAATAAATCCTGCTTTCTTGAAAAACAGGTGAAGTCCATGTCCATCACTTCTACTTTGATGAAACTGCTAACAATCGTAGATGGTGACAGAGCCCCTCTCGCCGACCTACCGCAGCACCAGGGGATGGAGGGGGAAGCTGCCGTATCCCCCCTGCCCTCCCTGGCCCAGAGAGAGCACTTCAGGCACCTCTCACGGCCTGCAGGGCCAGGGGCCTCCAGGGAGAGCCAGGGGCTCACCACGGAAACAAGGAACCCAGAGGGCCCGCCAGGTCACTGCAAAGCCAGCTGCTTTTGTAGGTGCCGCCCAAGCCTCCCACACACTCCTGCCAGGTGTATGTGAGCTTGGGAGGATGGAAGCAGAATTCAGTTTAAAGTACTGTGCTGGGTCTTGATTTCTAAATATCATTTTCCAGTGAAAAGAACTCAGGCTCCTCGGGGAAGTGGCTAATTCTAAGGCTGGGACAGGGAAAATACAAGATGAGCCTGGAGCAACTTGTAGTACCAGAAAGTAAGCCAGTGCTCAAAAACGAAAGGAAAGGAACATGTCAAAGCGACACAGGGCTTGGTGCATTGTGTGGAAAAGAGAAAGGGAAGGAGGAAGGGAGAGGAGAGAGATATATGAGAGAGAGAGGGAGGAAGAAAATAAAAGATACAGGAGCCAGCCTGAAGGAGCTCCCAGTGGCCAATGCTGGAAAAATTTCAGTAGCAAAATAACATAGTACTGAATCATAACCCAAAGCATAAAATAGACATGAGTCCATACTGATATCAATGGTTGAATAAATCTATATGTGAGAAGAGATAAATCTTCCTTACAGAGGAATTCTAAAGAATATAGCAAGGCCGGGCATGGTGGCTCATGCCTGTAACCCCAGCACTTTGGGAGGCTGAGGTAAGAGGATTGCCTGAGCCCACAGGTTCAAGACCAGCCCAGGCAACTTGGTGAGACCTCATCGAAATATTAGCCAAAGCGTGGTAGCACGAGCCTGTAGTTCTGGCTACTTGGAAGGCTGAGGCGAAAGGATCGCCTGAGCCCAGCAGGTTGACACTGCGGTGTCTGGGAGCGTGTCACTGCACTCCAGCCTGGGCGACAGAGTGAACTCCAGCTCAAAAGTACATATACATATATATATATCCAGAGCCTTCTGCGTGACCCAGAGAGGGGTCCATGTGGCATTGTTCCAGGTTCCCGCCATAACTTAAAGGGAAACCTTGACGATGTCTAGAGCGCTCG